TAATAATAATAATAAAAAAACAGTGATAAGACAGCATTTAATTTATAGATTAAGTTGGGGAAAGATGAAGTTTTTATAATGTTGTTAAAATGATAAATCTCAAACTACAAGTTTTTCACTTAGTAAGATTTTATTTTAAACAGTTTAAAATTTTTCTCCATGGCGGTCTTACTCAACTGGTTCCTGAATGCTTTGTGGTAGTTTTTGCTATCATGAATTGTACCTTTTTTTTTTTTTATCACATTTTCTAATTGTTGCTGGTATAAATAGATATTGATTTTTTAATAGTTGATCTTTTATCTACTAACCTAGATAAATTCTAATTACTTTAAATAACACTGATTCTTTGTGAATCCATTTGTGAAACTTTGTAAATATTTACACCATATATAAATAATGTTTCTTCTTGTCAAATTTTTTTACTCTTTTTTTAATCTTTTTTTTCTCTTTTTCCTCTCTCCTTCTCTTCTTCCTCTTCCTCCTCCTCCTTCTTTTTTTAATATTAGTGTCTAGGAGTTTCAGTTCTGTGTTAAACATAGTCGGTCAGTGGGCATTCTTATCCTGAAATTAAAGACAATATTCCCTATCTATCTTTTACTCTAATATCTCACTGAAAGGCAATATCAATTTCATTTTGAATTCTTAGTTCTTATCTTGATTGATTCTTCTGCAGTACTTAATACTGTTGACCTCTGCTTCCTTCACTTTTTTAAACTGCATTCTCATTCTCATTCTCTCCCTTTTTCTGCCTTAATTTCAGTCTCTTTTGTTGGGCTAATCTTCCTCTGCCAGTCTCCTTAGTGTAGTGGTATGCCCTAGGATTGTATCCAGGGCCCTCTTCCCATTAGATTTGAGCATTTTTCCTGGATAATCCATTCACTGTGATGATGCCTCTTACTCCAACTGGCTAGTTAGATGTCCACACTCATCTTTGATTCCTTAAGACCAGACTTGACTTTCATTTTTCCCTACCACAAATCTCCTTTTGTTTTCTGTATTTAAGTAATAGACTACTTGTCCTTTGCTTTAAGCTCAAAACCTGGCTTACTCTTTCTGCACCTCTCCTCCCAAAGCCACTTTGTGTATTCCTCCCCTTAACTAAGTCACACATGTTTTCTACTCCTCCACACCCCACCCTAGTTCAGACTGCCACACCTGTGTTTGGTGTCTACATCAGTTGTCTGCCCTGAAGCTGGTAGTTTTATTGTTTTGTGTTACTTGGAATTGAACCCAGAGCCCCTTTATCACTGAGCCACATTCCTAGTCCTTTTGATTTTGAGACAAGTTTTCACTGATTTGCTTAGGGCCTCACTAAACTTCTGAGGGTGGACTCAAACTTGTGATATTCCTGCGTCAGTCTCACTAGGACTACAGGCATGTACACCATGCCTGGCTTCTGAAACTGGTAGTTGTAAAAGAGCTTTCAGATTTTTCTCATTATACCAGAGGCAACTTCTTCCTTCTTGTCTTAGTTTTCTTTATTTTTTTGACGGGCGGAGGGTATGGGGGTCAGGGAATTATTTCTAAAATCTCAGCTAGACTCTTTTCATTGCCTTCCAATGATTCTAGAATCTACTAGTCTCTCTCTTTTTTTTAAAAAAAATATTTTTAGTTACAAGTGGACAAAATAACTTTATTTACTTTTTATGTGATGCTGAGGATGGAATGTAGTACCTCACATGTGCTAGGCAAGTGCTATACCACTGAGACATAACCCCAGCCCAATCTCTCTTAAAAAAAAATTATTGGGGAGGTACTAATATTTCTTATAAACAAGTCTGTATCTCCAACTTTTTTTTCTTGTATATTATGCTCTCTATGCTGCAGTTTAGAGTAGTCTTCCTAAAATTTACATCTAAACACACATCCTAATCCATTTGACTGTTATAACAAAATAACCAGAGACTGCGTAGCTTTCACAATACATTTTTTTTTTTTTTTTAACATTTCTGGAGGCTGGGAAGTCCAAGATCAAAATACTAGCAGAATCAGAATCAGTGTCTGCCCAGGGCTCACTTCCAGGCTCAGAGATGGCCATCTTCTTGTGTTTCTTCAAGTAACAAAAGAGGTGAAGGAGCTCACTGGGGTCTGTGTTGAAGGGCACTGACTCCATTCATGAGGGCTCTACCCTAAAAACCTAACCACATTTGTACTGGGGCTTAGGATTTCAACATAGAAATTTGGGGTGGGTGACATAAACATTCACTCTATAATGTCATATCAACCTCTATTTAGAACCCTTAATTGAATCCCTATTATTTGCAAGATAGAGCTCAAAATCTTTTATGTGGCCCAAATCTTGGTTTGATCTCGGCCTTGTCCCTTTACTGGCCTCTTACCTCTCTCCTTCTCCCTCTTTTGAATGCAGCTCTATTTCTTTCATTTTCTCTGATAGGCCATGCCCTTGCTCCTGTCTAGGGCTGTCATACTTACCTTTTGTTTTTTTAAGAACACTTTCCTCAATTGTATGCATTATTCAGATTTCATCTTAGATGACCCTTCCTCTAGGAAGACTTCTCCGATTCTCCATATCTGGCTTAGACAACCCCTGGGTCCCCACTGCACCTTATTAGGTATTGTATCACACTTGTTGCGATTTTCTATATCCTGCGTATATGGTAAGTTCTGTTTGGACAAGGATCCTTAGTACCCAACAGAGTCCCTGGAATATGATAAATGTTAAATATTTACTGAACGAAAGCGAAATAGTCTTCCTCCTTAAAAATGTTATTAATTCCATATGCTGATTGAATGAGTTTAACTAGTATAGGGGAATATATTAAAACTTTACTAATTGCAGCTAATTAACTAAGCAATCAATTTCCCTCCTTCCTTGCTTTTCTTTCCTCTTCTTTTCCACTAATATTTCCTGAGCATTTTTGTGCCAGTTTAAAGAGACATTTGGCTAAAAATCAAATTGAACCTTTTTATTTTTTTAAATATTTTCTTGGTTGTCAGTGGACTTTATTTATTTATATGCAATGCTGAGAATTGAACCCAGTGCCTTACACATGCTAGGCAAGCGCTCTACCACTGAACCACAACTCCAGCCCCCAAATTGAACTTTTTAAGTCTGAAGTAAAAATTTACTAGTAGTATTCTTTGACCCAAACCTGAGGTATGACTGGACAGAATAGAGTTCTTGATGGAACCCCCTGATTGAGATTGATATCTAGGGTGATCCCCAGGCTTACTTTGTCCTATCTTCTGTTA